GGGTAAGGGGGGGATCAAGAGAAAGGTTCTTCCTTCTACAGAGGCCTGAAAAAGTAAGTAAAGTTAATGAAGACTTGAGATTTGACCTGAGAGTTTCAGAAGAATCTTTCCGATTTGTCAACACCGGAGACAGCAAGAGCTGACAAAGTCTAGCCTCCCCACAATCAGCCAAGATCCAAACCCCATTATAAAGACTGCCCTCCACTGGACACCCGAAGGACATCGCAAGAGGGGCAGACCCAAAGTGACCAGGAGATGCACAGAAGTGTCTGAAATGAAGTCCTGGAACCATTCGTGGAGGATGTTGACCATGATGGCCCAAAACAGACGGAGCTAGAGATCCTTTGTTGCTGCCCTAAACGCCAGATGGCGTAACGGGTAATAAGTAAATAAGTAAACCCCATTAGATCATCATCATCATCATCCGGTGCCTTGCCGACAGGCGTGGGCGAGCATGAACCTCCACTTCACTCTGTCTTGCGTTGCAGCAATGGTGTCTGTCGTTCTTGCTGTTCCCAGCCATGTTGTCATCTCGTCCAGTATCTTTTCCTTCTGTCTGCCTCTGCCTCTCTTTCCATCAAACTTGCCTGCTGTTACAATATTATTCTCCAATGTTTCTTTCCGCATCGTGTGTCCAATGAAATTTGCTTGTCGCTTTCGTGTATTCGTCATCAGCTGTCGTCTGCAATTTGTTCCCATTGCCTTCAATCATTAAAAAAAAGACCCCCCCCCCCTAAAAAAACAACAACAAAAAAACAACAAAAAAACGATTATCGGCTCCACCGTGTCAAGCAATCAATGTCCATCTGTAGGTACACACAGCGACAGAATCACGCAGCCAGACTCCTTCAGTTTTCTCCAGACAAGATGAACTGATCAATAATGTATGTGAACGACCGCAGCCCAACCCCCCCCCCCCTTGCCACAGGGACGGGTCAGCGGGCGAGCAAGCAGAGAGCCACTCAAGCCTGACAGACGTCCCAGGCGCTGTGAATAAGTCACAATGTTTGGGCTTTTCATTATTCTCCTTCTTTATGGTGCAAAATGTTTGCTCTTTTTCTTTATTGCTCTTCTTTATCGTGCACAATGCTAGGTTTTTCTTCCTATAATATTGTCCTTCTTTATGGTTAGCCATTTTTGTTTTAATTTTCTTTTCCTAATTTTTGTTTTTCTTTACTCATGACAAAATTTTCATACCGGCGTCTGCGGTGTAGTGGTTAGGTGTTTTGCTGCCGCACGCAGGAGACCCGGGTTCAATTCCCGAGTGGCGATAAAAATTTTTTTTAGCGAGTATGTATCTCGGTCTTTCTTCACCAAAACTGTTCTCTATCTCCCCCGTGTATTCAAGAACTACCGTCAATCAAACTGCTCTGAGTTCAAACCGCTGATTGAAATTCTTCAAAACTCCACACGCAGCGTTCCAGAAAGACAGAAATCACATACTGCAAGTTTCATCTTTATACGACTATTTGGTCATTCTCAGGAGAAACAGTTACTGAACACAGCTCGTAAACCTTTGAATTATCATGGTGGAGTTTGGGCCTCAGAGCCTTGAGAGGAAGGGAGAAGTATGCGTTGTTGAAACGATAATTTAGTTTTTGTTGATTACTTTCTCTACGCTTTTATAACAATACCTGCACTCTTATAAACCATTCACACACTCGTAGAAATACTTTCTGCACTTAGAGTGTGAGAGGCCTGTGGTCTTTGGAAAATCAAACATTTGTATATGCATGTATTGTTTATTGATCGTGCCTCGGCGAGTGGTGTGTCAATAAAGCTTCCATGGCTGTCCTGTTGTAGGCCAGAGAAACCCGCGTGGGTGGTTGGCGGGTTCTCTGGTGTGGTTTGCTCCTTCTTTCCTATCAAACATCCATCGTCCTTATTTCTCGTCCTCCTTTTTGAGTTTGCTACTCCCATGTGACACCTCTATTCTTCGGCACTTATATGACCTTATTGTGTTGCAAGTGCCGTAAAACTCTTTCGGAAAAAAAGAAAAACCCGCGAAGTTCCGAGTCCGCGAAATGTGACTGGCGGTATGGCGGGGGATCACTAGACAACGTAGGATGGACACCGGGTGATAGACGTCACGAGAGTCATTTCTCATGTATGTGATTAGCGTCTTCACAGAGGTGCAGTACACTCGCGAACCTAAAAACGTCAACGGTCACCCAACTTTACATTTGCAAACCTACCCGATATTAGGACAAATATCGGATTTTGCTCGAATATGCTGGCACTGTTCAAGTACAAATACTCACGCCCGTCCCATCAACCAAACCCAAAACAGGACAAACATTCCTAATGCAGCCTCATCCCAGTGTGAGACAGTCCCAAGCCTGTAAACACAGAGGGGGGGGGGGGGAGGCGAATGCTTTACGATTGTAGAAGTGGAGAGACGTCATCATCAACTATTTAATGAAATGCGAGTACGAGAACAACTCGATTACAAATCTTTACGTTTGCTCGTTCGATGCTTTAATTTTTGTTAAGCAACTATAGGTTCGCAAGTGCAGTGTATGAAGTTGCTCAAAATTGAATGGACTCGCAACAGAGACGTTTTGAACAATGCGGTTCACATGTGTCGTGTTTCCCTTCACCGGGGTACAGTAGATGGAAGGTTCCCATCGTGTAAGACGGCCACCATTTGTGGAGGAGAAAAATGACCGTCATGAACAGATGACCGCCTGACAGAGTGTCATTGTGAGGTAAAAACCGCAAGGGGAAATGGGAAGTGGCTGTTTGTACAGCTGGTTGTCTTATACAGGTGGCCGTTAGAGCAGGTGATTGTGTTATACAGGTGGTCGTTTGTACAGTGATTGTCTTATACAGGTGGTCTTTAGAGCAGGTGATTGTCTTATACATGTGGTCGTTTGTACAGGTGATTGTCTTATACAGGTGGTCTTTAGAGCAGGTGATTGTCTTAGACAGGTGGTCGTTTGTACAGGTGATTGACGTATACAGGTGACCGTTTGTCCAGGTGCTTGTCTTATATGGGTGACCGTTTGTACAGGTGATTGTCTTATACAATTGGCCGTTTGTACAGGTGATTGTCTTATACAATTGGCCGTTTGTGCAGGTGATTGTCTTATACAGGTGGTCGTTTGTACAGGTGATTGTCTTATACAAGTGGTTGTTTGTACAGGTGACCGTTTGTACAGGTGATTGTCTTATACAAGTGATCGTTTGTACAGGTGATTGTCTTATACAAGTGGTTGTTTGTACAGGTGACCGTTTGTACAGGTGATTGTCTTATACAAGTGATCGTTTGTACAGGTGATTGTCTTATACAGGTGGCCGTCAGAGCAGGTTCCACTGTGTGCGCCCACAAATTTCGGAGGTATCCTTTTACAGAGTCCAGTCTTAGAATGACACGGGGATCAGATGGGTGGTCACTGGGGTGTGTCCTTGAGCAAGGCACGACAACCCCAGCTCAAAATACAGGCGCTGCACAGTGGCGACCGACAGTGGCGTGTCTGTAAACTGTTCTGTATTTGTGTAATATTGTGTATTTATGTGACGCATTTGTGCATGTATTTAAGTATGTATGTACTCATAATTATGTATTTATGAATGTATGATGTATGTTTGCCATTGTAAAACATATTGCTGTTCGATTTATAACAACATAAGTGTAATAGATTAGTTATTATTATTTTATTATAATCGGAAGAGAAGTAGCTCTTGAGCGCAACTTTCTGAACACTAATAAAACATTAACATTTAATAAAGTACAGTTCTGTTCTGAGAAAAGAAAATTCGGAACAGCGGTAAAACGTTATTTTCGTTCAATAAAGTACCACTTATGAGAGCTAAGACCATTCAGACAAAATAATGGTAAAACATTGCTGAAATTCAGTGATGTATACAGAAATGGAAAAACATAATTATTCAATAAAAGTGTGCAGAATAGGGACAAATTGCCAGTCCGAGAGGAAACCAGAATGTGAAGACTACAGAGAAAAATGACTGTAGTCACAAACTGAAAATCGTAAGGGTACCAATTTTGAACGCTTGTTGACTCATAACTGTATTTCTGTTCAACTGTTGGTTGATTATTGTTGTTAGATTTCCCATTCAACAACACTTAACAATAAACCACCAGTCAAACAAATAATGAAGTTATGAGTCCACAAGCTTTTAAAATTGGCACCCTCACAATTTCCAGTTTATGACTGCCGTCAATTTCCCCCTGTGCTCTTCAAATGTTTTGTGAAATGTTCCCTCTCGCAATGTGGGACATTTCTGTTAGCCCAAACCTCAGAAGACATTTCTTCTAGGACGCCACGCTATGTCATCAGAGGTATGTGTGAACCACCTCTGTGACCGTTATCGTGTCTGGCTTGCTGCTATGTTTTTCTTTTCATGAACGCGTTTTTAAGCCGACACAATTTAGATAATTTAAGACGCGGGCTTCTGAGAGGGAAACAGCATCATGTCCCAGAT